CTGAGGTGGCACTTCCTAAAGCAGCATCACTTCCTAACACAGCAGTGCAATGACAGAAACCAAATCACACACTTCAGGTCCCCCAAAAGCAGAGGAAAATCTGCTTTTTAATCATGCTTTGGAAAACATACACTGCTAGTGGGTTTTGCTCAAGGCAAAATTTCAAATGAAGAAATTAAAATAAAATGTTTACAAATATCTAGGATTAAATTCAAATGGGAGGGAAGGTATTATAGACTTCAGTTCCATGGCAGTCACCACATTACCAAACTCAGGAGGGTGGAGACACTTGGCAGCCTGTGTTGTCTCCTCCTGGCTGGGGATCCCTCCCAGCTTTACCTTGGCTTCTCTGCCCCCTTTTTCCCTACCCTTCCTGCCCTGGGAAGCAGGGGTGACACAGGGGTGACACAGGGGTGACACAGGGGTGACACAGGGGTGACACAGAGGTGTCACTGCTCGGTGACAGGGGTGACACAGGGGTGACACAGGGGTGACACAGAGGTGTCACTGCTCGGTGACAGCTGGCCTGGCACTGCCAGGGGAGGTTCCTCCTGCAGAGCAGAGTGGGAAGCTGGCACACACCGTGCTCTGTCCCCAGGCTCGGGGCACAACGGGATGAGGTCGAGTGCCAAGTAAAGCAATCTGCAGTCAGCATCTCCTCTCAGCTAAGTGTCCTCTCAGCTAAGTGGCTTTAAGGAGTACTTGGAACAGAGACCTTGGATTTCCTTGAGTCAGGGCTCCTGAATCACGCAGTCATTATTCCTTAAGGTTTTGCCACGGTCTTTGGTCGCCCAACGGGAGTAAAGATGTGAAGAACCACAGTATGAAAACAAGCCAGGGGACACAGATGTCCTGGGAGACCCTCATTATCTTCCTGTTAAAACTGAAAACCTTGGCTAGGACCCCTCGAATGGGATGATACACACCCGTCTATTTAATTTCAGTTTGATGTAAAAGGAAATTAATCAAGCTATAAAAAATTAATCAAGTTCCCAGAAAGAGGGAGAGAGAGAAAGCAAACACTTACTAACAGATAGAAAAACATTACAGTAAGTTTACAAGTTGAAGTGCAAGGACTTGGCCTAAGTAACTGTGGCTCTAAAGTAAATTCCTCACATACTAATTACCAAAATCCAAATTGTATTTTCGAGGAATCACAAATTATTGCCAGTTAATCAGACTGTTGTCAATTTGCTTGTCCAGCCCAAAGATCAAATGTTTTGGGAATGCAAAGGACTCTGTCCTGACAAATTATGTCAGTACAAAACCAGCAATGGAATCAGCACAACAGGAAGTGACCATCACGCCTGCCTCACACTAGGTGGAAATTTACAGCGGTTCCACAAATCTTCTTACTGTCAGTAAATTCCCCTCAACCTTCTAAGGAGAAAGGATCATTGCTCCTGAGAGGGATAAATCAATTCCCTCGATAGGTAAACACAGACCCTTTGCAGGATAACCAGAATGTTTGGCCCACCCCAAGTTTAGGCAGAGTTCCCTGGAGAAAACTTCCAGTCTAGGTTCCTCTAACCCTTCCCAGCTGTGAAGGCTCCAGGAGTTTTCCCTTCCTCTTTTCCCAGTTTTAAGAGGGAAAGGCGTACGGACTCACGACAATCGTTCCTCATGCAAAGTTTCAGGGGTAGAAACACCTCGGGGAGAAACTGAGAAGCAATTTTTTTTTTTTTCAGGAATCACAAATAAAAGCTGGTTTTGTTCTTCCAGAGGGCTCAGGCACTGCTTTCAGACTTGCCCAAATTCTCCTAACTTTGCTACTGTAAGCATCCAGGTGCTTTTTGGCAGCAGAAATTGTTCTGTAAGCAGCAGAAGTATTTTATCCAGATGTCTACATCAGAAAGTCTGTTTCCTCCTTCCCTCCCTGCAGAAACAAACCTGCACAGGCCTCCCCTGGCTGCAGGGCAATCCCGGCCCGCCCCCGTCACTGCCTGCGCTTCCACTTGACCCAGGCTGCTCCCCAAATCATGCCTCGATCGTCTCAAGAAGACGAAGGGAGAAATGGAAGTTTAACTGGAGTTACTTCCGAGCTAAACTCACACACACGATCACCCACAAAACGTCCCCGGTAATCGCTGCCAGTGCTGACCATCATTTTTGCGAGGTACTAAAACTCAGGGGTTTTCACCTCTTAACTGACAGCACCCACATAATTGCGGGAGTCAAACTCTGGGCCTTCTCCTCCTCTGTCTCACCGACCAGACGGCGCCTTCGGCTGCCCAGAGCAGTTTCCGAAGGAAAGCTCCCGGCCCTGGGAGAGCCTTGGAGGCCGTGCCGGGGTCCGAGGAGCCGCAGGGTGCAGCGCTCGCTCGGTGTGAGCCGTAAGCTCATGCCATAATCCCAGGACGAGCTAATGGATGCAATCGGCGCCTCCCGGCGCCCGGCTGGCCCGGGGGACACCCGCGG